TAGTCATATCCAACAGCTCACATGGACGTACTGGGAGCTCCATGGTCTCACAAAAATCATGTGTAGCATTATCACGCGCAACTTGAATGTAAATATTATGCAATAATAATGGTAAAGTTTAATCTCTGACAAATAAAAAGACGCAACAAATTGCCCTGGTGGTGTATTTGACCTCGAAAGCTACCGCATAGCAAACATGAACAAAATGATTTATAAACAGACTATAACTACAAACTAAACAAATTCTACTCAAATTAATTCTACAGTTTTGTTTTCTCTGGCGATCCTGTGCATAAAACTGAAATTTAAACAGGTCGGCATTTTACCGGTAAACCGGAAAATCAATGCATAAATTAACTTGTCAGAAGTGTGAATTGCCTTCTGCCAGTACGGTAACGGCCTTGCCGGTACGGCTAATGACCTTCGGGTACGGTAAAGAACCGGCCTGAACGGTGAAGAACCGGCCGGTACGGTAAAGCAGCGGCCGGTACGGTAAAGAAACGCATGCCGCAGGAGACTCACAGGAAATCGGCTTGGTGGTAATGATCAGTTCCCTTAAGCCAACAGAAAATGTTGGCACGTAAATTATAATTATAGACAAATGTTTTTATAAAATAATAACATTAATCAACGAGATTATGTAGACTGCTTTCCCACTGCTGTTTCAATCTTAAATCTTGCTTGTATTCATATTTAATTGTGACAATGCATATGTAACAAAGGGGAAGGTCACCAGAGTTTAACTATGTTTTACTATTAAACCAATTGGGACTTGTTGTATGTACGGTAGTTTTGATGATTTAACACTCAGTTTTACACAAAGCCGCAGAGGTTTGTTCATTCACTGACCGTTGCCTTTGTACTATTAAAGTTTGATTGACAGCTGTGTACATTTCAGTTTCGGTCATAGTTCAAATGTCTGCATATTTGTGGTTTATGGGAATTTGTTTCCATGGTTAGTTGCAAGAATGTAACAATGTACAGCAGTTTATGTGGCCAGGTAGCCTAGACATCAAGAAAGACAAAATAATAGTTTTACTGGATCAGTAAATAAATAATTAAACTGCATTGTGTTTCTGAGTGCATGTATTGATGTTGTGTTTCCCTGCTTGGTGATTTAGTTTTGTGTCATTCAAAATACCTATAAAAAGCCAGCAAGTTGAATGATTAACTTTGTAACTTTGTTAATGCTAAATTGCAAACAATGTTTGTAATGTATCATTTTTAGTGTATTACACAAAGAATACAATTTACAGAAAGAAGATGGTGTCAACAAATTCAGTATGAGTAAGTGTGTGGTATTGAGTTTATCAGCGTCTGCAAGTGTTCAGTGTAAATGAACAATGAATAGTGCACACAATCCTTTGAACTTTCAATACACATATATCTTTTTGTGGAAAGAGTGCATATACCTGTCTATTTTTGACTAATGGGGAAATTTAAAATGTAGTAGGTTTCTTTGTTAACCCTTTTGAGTGCCCAAGTCAATATTTGTCACCATTCACAATATAAAAACTCACATAATTATTTCATAACATAAATTTTGGTTAAGACTTGTAACCAATAACAGATTATGTTGATCTGGTTTAAAATTATCAAAAACAAATTTAGAAAACCCATAAAAACATTTAAAATATAACACTGGAATTTTGCTGGAAATTAAATTGACATTTGGAAATGTTGAGGCGTATGCATATTTTTCATGTCACTGAAGCAAATGACACTGAATTGATAAAAACTCTTTTTGGGTCAGTCGCCTTGTTCCCGCACAAAGATATCCTTGGTAAAATATGCTATGAAAGTTGTGATATGCACACTTTAATTAATAATACAAATGATAAAAATTCAACTATTGCAAACATCTAGTTTTTTTATCACTCGCAAAGGCCTTATTTTAATTGAAGCTCTCTGAGAACAGATTTAAAAATGAGGGACAGATAGTAATTGAAGTGTTGATCAGAGTGGTGCTAAACAGAAAGTGATGATCATAGCACTGATAAACAAAGTGCTGATCAGATAGGAGCTCAGATTTTACTAGTAATTGAAGTGTTGA